ATACTTAAAGATTTGATCACTAGTTTCAGGCAAAATTGCTACAGACACTCGATATCGTTTCGACGTCACACCGTCGCGTGTCCAGGTCGTGAAACCAAAACAAGATCGATCTGTCACAGTGTCGGGAAATATTTCGTTCTCCCAACGTCCCGTTATCGCTATTTAGACGGTCTGACTATGGCTGAACTTTCACTATAAACGTCAACCACAGAACCGTCACGAAGAAACGTAGGCCTATGGTTTTGGATATTGACAGCGATAAGTTCGTCTACAACGGTGAGTTCATGACTTGGCGGGAGGCAGACTTCGTACGATATGCGTACGCGCATATATATAGTGCGAGGTTAATTTATATAAATTAATGAAATACTGCTACTCTCAATACTTAAAGTCGTTCATCTATTTTAATTTTTCATGAAGTTGTTGCCGAAACATTAATTTTGACAATAATTAAATTTGTAAAAAAAAGAAGTCATTTTTGAATATTAATGAGTGACTTTTTACATATGGGTCATATCACTACGCCAGCCTTGTCAACAAACGCATGTGTGTATGTTATTTCCGACTGATCTTGAGATTGTGGTAGAAACAGATCACACGACTCGTGGTTGTTGAGTATGGTATTTATTTCCCTCTCGTTAATTAATTTTCAAAAATTACAGAAAGACACTCGCTAAAGCTCGTGTCTTTTGTAACTTTTGAAAATTAACTAACTCGAGTAAAATAAATACCATAATCAACAACCACTCGTTGTGTAACCTCTATATATAAACTGGTATAAATCAGACTTTGATTTTTGTCTTACTTTTATAGGAGTTGAGTAAGTCTTGCTCTCCAATGTAAAAACTTGATGTTGTCAAACATATACTAGCGAGACAAAAGTTGAGCCGATCAGACTGAATGTTTATAGACTATGTGATTGTCTCTACATATTCCTATACCTCAACAGGATATTCTTTACGTAACTGTTCAATTGTAAATAGTGTAGTTACACCAAATTAAGTCGTATGTGTTATTTTTGGTTTATATGTTCATACAACCATTACCAAGGTAGAAACAACGAAAGTTATCAACACTGGAAATATCTGTTACGAAATTACCGCGGCGGCCGTAAACGTAAACGAACATGGCGTCACAGCTTGACGACTGATATGTGCCGATTGACAGATTGATAGAGAAATGGAGGCATTAGAACAGGCATATATCCGGCGTTTACGGGTCAACGGCGCCAACATCAAAGGTGTGACGTCTATACCTATAGCAAAATGGACCCTCTGGGTCTCAAAATCAGAATAACAATCGCTGCTAAGGGAATAGTGGAACTAGTAATCAATCAAATGATGTGTCAAATGTTTGCATAGCAAGGAAAATATATGTATGAAACTTCAAAGTAATGTCATGTCGTTTTCATCACATTTTTTTCTATTTGGCTTATAACAAAGTAATTAAAAAAGTTTGCTAGACCTTATAAAATCTTGTCGGTTTTTTTAGTATACCTGATATCTTAAAATATATTTACATGGTGACAAGACTATTTCACTTTCTATTTCATTATTTTACCTGTATGCGTCATTGTTTGTTTTGATGCAAGTTCCTCATAGTCTCTTTCACTTTAATTCTAATTAATGTCATTCCTTATAATTACAATATGTAAATATTGCAATCGCTTTTCTTATAAATAGTTTAATTCTGCTGTTTTGATACAGTTCTCGTAATATCTATCGTTGAGTATTGACCATCCATGGTCAAGTACAAGACGTTTAACGCTCACCTTGTTTTTGATCCCCACGAAGCCCACATGACTTGATTTAAACATATTTGTATTGACACAAGTTGTCCAAATTATGTAAAGCTCTTTCCCAATAACATAATGAAATAACATATATACAAAATGGCAATTTTTAAATTAATTAATATTTTCAATTAAGTTTAGTGTTACTGAGAGAAATATTAAGTTTTCTATCGCCAATCAGATAATAATTTGGAACATATGAATTTTGAAGATTTAGGAGAGAATTCTTAAACGCTGTATGTGAAACTCTTTGTCTTATATCTAGGTCTAATTGGTTCCAAAGTCGGATTGTAGAAGGGAAAAAGGATGAGTTTGAAAGTGGAAGTCGGCAATTAGAAAGAGTATAATTATCGGCATTACGGAGGTTGTATTCTGAATTTTCTGAGAGGAGACAGTAGAGAAGTAAGATAGGTTGGCGTGAAATTATTGTGAATTTTGTTGAATAGTTGAAATTTTCTCCTAGGTCTTCACTGAGAAAAGGGTTCGAATCCACTTTCAGAGTATAAAAATGCTCTGCTATATGTAGAATAAGAGGGTAAACCGGTGATTATCCGTGCAGACTCAAGTTGAAGATTTTCTAGATTGTCTGCGTCACCGAGAGTACACCCATCCCATACCTCGCAACAGTATTCTAGTAATGGAAGAATATAGGATCTGTATATTTTATTAAGAGTTGGTCTATTTAATATGTATTTTAGTTTGCGCAGTACACTTACCTGTTTTGAAACTTTTTGGCATATATTATCAATGTGGTTACTCCATTTACAATTATTATCCCGAACTACTCCGAGGTGTCTATGATTATCCACGAAGTCAACACTTACATTATTAAAAGTAATATCTATAACATAATCAAGTTCTATATTTGAAATAAGTAATGCTTTCGTTTTTACAGGGTTGAATTTAACTAACCATTTATCTGCCCAATTTTGGATCTTAACTAAGTCACTGTTAATTTTAGCTTCAATAGCCTGAGGAGATTCTTCCGAACATAATAAAGAGGTGTCATCTGCAAATAATTTGGATAGGCTTTCAAGATTATCAGAAATATCTTTTTTTTTTGAAAGCCCACATGACTTATTTCGTACCAGAACCCATTGTTACAGGTGCCCTCTATTTCTATAATGAAAATCTATTAGATTGATGCTCACCAGTGCTCCGAGCTACAAGCGTCACACACAAACTGACAAACACGCTTGTTGTTTATCTTGCTGGTCATTTAAACTAAAGTGTAGCAAACGATATATATGGCGTGTAAAACGTTGCAATATTCAATAATTTTATATTTATGATCGAAATTTTATATTTGTATTCAAGAATTGTAAATATTTGTGCAATATTTCATATTTATATTCAATAATTGTAAAAATATGTGCAATAAAAAATGTATATGCGATAAAAAAATATTTATGTTCATTAAAAAATATATATGTAAACAAAAATATGCATTTGTTCGAAAAATAAATATCTATTCGAAAAAAGAAATTGTTTGAAAAAAAAATATGTTCAATAAAACAGTATTTGTATTCAATAAAAAATATTTATCACATAATCGGCCTGTTATCCAGTGATTCGCCCGTGTACTATTTTTACATATGTCACTAGTATAATATACCATGAAGCGTTTTTCATTGGCTGTGCCAGACGGAAATCGATTGTGACGTCATAATATGGACAAAGACGTGACGTCATAAATTGTGAATGGCGCAACAAAATGGCCGTCTCCGTTTGATTAAGCCCTCTACATTTTGGCTTTAAAACTAGTCAAAATGTAAGTTTTCTGAGTTATGTGAGAAAAAGTATCATAAATTTGTTTTCATTTCATGTGAGCTTTGATGAAACTCGTCTTGAAGTTTTAATTTTTGCTCGCCAAGGCTCGCAAACATAAAAACTCCTAAGACTCGTTTCATAAAATCTTATATGAATGAAAACTCATTTAAGATCCTATACATATGTGCAAAAAAAATGTATTTAATTCGATAATTTGCATTCTGGGATAGCATCGTTTGACCTCAATGGCAGCTTGCTGTAACGGCGTGTTTGATTGGACGATGGGGAAAACGAAAGTACAATCTCGATATTTACACTTCGGACAAACGAAGTAAAAGTAAAATTCGTTGGGTCTACAACAGTGACGTATACACTATTCCGTCTTTTCGTATTGCAGATTTATCTGCTCTTGTGAGCAGGTATTGATTGTTACGTCATTTGTTTGTGAGAGTAACGTCTTAAATTTTTGAGTAAACGATGTAATGTTTCCACACAAACTAATGACGTATCAATCAATATCTGCTCACAAGAGCAGATAATTCAGCAATACGAAGGGACGGAATACCTCTATGACCTTCATGTATCTCTTTAAGCCAAGTACAAGTGTATGTATGCCTTATCTATCAATAATGACTGATCCATTGTTGCTCATATAGATAATTCATTATTTCTATTTAATGGTATCTGCCTCTTGAATTAAATAGAAAGAACAGTAGATATGTCCCTTTTATAATTCGAGAGGCAGGACAACTATAGTTGTTTGACAGACCACAGGGTTTCGTTAAAAATGTCTAAAATACACATACTGTACTGATATGGGTCACAGCAAAACCACAGGGGTTCGTCACAAATTTCTGAAATAGTATATTTAAAATTTTGAATAACCAATAGTCCCTTGGTGGTCAGGTGGCGCAGTGGATAACACAATCGCCTTTCATCAAGGCGGCTGGGGTTCGATTTCTCGATTCCTGGATTTTCCCCGCGTTTTCCAGTTTCCTTCCACAGTAAGACACCTCCACCCCTATCTCGCGCGATAACATCTGGGCCAATAACAGTGATTAATATAAGTTGAATAACTTGTTTCATATGAATAAAGTTTACCCCGGTAATAGTTTGTCCTTGGGTGATGATACTTGGCCAGTATCATTTTGTGATAAACATCTATCATGCTACATGTTCATGTATCGGTTTTTTTAAATAAGTGATATAAGTGGCCAGTGTTCAATCTACAATTAGTTTGTATGGGTCCTTTTCCACTGTATGGTTAAAAGATATGGGTCCCATCATGTAAAATTTCAGTATTTTCAGAAATTGTATTGGTCAAAATCGAAATTCCATTTGTATCGCATGTATTTATTACTGAGTGGCTTATATGAAGACTGCAGGGGTCAAATATGTTAAAGCCGTAAAAATCTTTAGAAAAGCAAAAAGCCTGGAATTATGATATTTGACCATTAGCATGCTGGGATGAAGGGCTTTCAAGTTTATTCAAATAAATAACTTTCAATGTCACAGGGATCCAGTGCTAATATCTACCTGATTTATTTAGTTGCTTCACTCACCAAAAAGATGCCTTGTAGTTAGGAATGATATACACATGTTCTATACATGTATGGTATGAAGATATCTGATAATTTTATAATATAAATTAGTATAGGACCTCCATGTTTCATGGTAATTCCTTTAACTTTCGTACCAGTTAAAAGAAGAAGAAAAAAGAAAAAAAAGTAAGCAAAATGAACCACTGTAATTTTGGTAAAATCCCTCTATTCAATGGTTTTTACTACAAAACAAAAATTGTTTGTTTTCAGAATGTCATATTTTTTCAAAACATGCACATTAAGCAGTTGTAGGTAATGAGGCAATGATCAATTTTAAAAATAAATCTCAGTGCCATGAGGTCAAGTTTTTGGTTACAAGGTCACAGGTTCATTCAAATACAAATTTCCGTCAGGTGAACATCTTCAGGTTATTCAAAAGCCCTTTGGTCAGCTTTTACGTCACCATGTCGCTCCCATTCCGAAGCCGCCCATCATATTCATCAATTGTCGGTCTATGTTCATCATCCCTGGACCGGCTCCGTCTCCTCGGTTGCCATTGTGTGAGCTCATCTGGTTGTTGAAGGCACATCCGCCATTTTGGACTACGGGTAAAAGAGTCGATGGATGTACGCAGACTGACGTCATAGCTTCGTTGATTTGTCTCATTTCCTCTTGTGTGTGTCCGTTCCAAATCCTATTCAATGTGTACACAACGATGTCGTCGCAAGTTCCGTCTAAACGCACAAAATCACAGGAGTAGATGACAGCAAACCCTGTGTAGTCGGTGCGGACGATCCACAGATTCCTCCCGGCTAACTGTTGGTCTAGTGGTACATCGGTTTGCATTATCGTGAACTTCGTCATATTTGAATACGGATCCGGCATTGCTGTGCGTTCAACACGCGTGCAACCAAACCATACACGCTGGAGATCTAAAACAAAAATTTACCCGGACATAATGTGGGTTTTTTTTATTATTTTTAAATTTAAGATGTAATGCTTGAATTGATTGTCATTTAACTTAGTAAAATAAAAACTATATCGAAGTCAAGCTGGGGAGAAGCTCAGGAATATTATTTAAACAGTAATAGTAATATTGACAAGCCATATTTCATTGGTGTTCCGAATTGTATAGTAATGACATTGACAAATATCGCCATCGCAAGTATATACGTGTTTAGATAAAAACAAACTGAAACCCAGAATTAGATACCAAGAATAATCACAAAGAACAAAGAATACGAGGTATGATCCTTTAAAATCAAAATGAAATTGCAACTTGTCTATTAAGCGATCTTATTTATAAACATATATATATAATATAAAAAGAAAAAATCTCAACAACACGTCATTAGTACTTTGGTTGAGATTCTTCAGACTGTTTATTTGAAGCAGAAATTATGACGTCATAAACTATGACATCACATGACGTCGCCATAGCGAAATCACAGCAATAGAAATACAAAATGGGGTCTTAGGTTTCAAGAGTACTATCGGTTTAGGATTTAGGATAACTAATAATACTATTACATGTATTTATGAATCAATAATAAACAAAAATCATTCCCAGTATGTGGCGAACTCGGGACCATCACATTACTGATCAGACAATACAGATATACTTCATAAGTATCTTTAAATTCTTCAATTACCTTCAATCTAAGTTATACAAACAACGACGCCATAGAAGGAGTTGTCTTGACCACAATATGTTACCGAATTCCCTGAGTATATTATATTTAGGGGATAGTACGTTGTTTTGAGTGGCTATACTGGCGATTAGAACATGAAATTTGTGTTTGAACTCGAGACCGATAGGTCGAGAGTTTAAACCAAATTTCATGTTCTAATCGCCAGTATAGACACGAAAAACAACGTACTATCCCCATTCTAACACACCTTAACAAATATACTACGCTAATATGTTTAGAAACATTGTATTTCCTTGTACAAAAGTACTTTGTGACCTGAACTGGCGACGTGTCATTCTGCAGCGGACTGACCAATCGGAAAGAAGCTTTCAAAAGTCGGTCATTTAGCCCCGCCCATACTGGCGAGAGCTCGATCTGTATGTTGACGAGGCGGAATATTTGGATTGTTCGTGAACGTCCTGTTACCAAAGTTTATACGACACATTCGGATTAATATTGAACAAGTTCTTACATTTCCATGTCAGTATGCATACCAATCGGTGCTTATCGACAAAATCGGTGATTATTTGTATAGATTTTTGAAGAGTTTTGTGTAAATGCATACGACACATGTGAAATGTTTGATTTGATTTCGGATCTAAATAGATGCCTTTACACGGATGGAACGAACGTTTCAGTAATAAATGGAGGTAAGAACAAGGAATGCGTTCTTTTTACTTTTTAATTCATTCAACTAATGCATTTCATCGGTCGTTTCTGTTCTGTTGCCTACTAGCCTTATCAGCGGGATTTCGCTATGAGGCGAGCTTGATGCCATATTGTTTTGGTTAGAAACGGGGCGTTGCTTAAGTGCGATGAGAGGAGCTTAACACGATTGACCATGATTCTATCGCAGATTAGAACATGGTCCGTATCCAATCAAAACACGCGTTGCAAACGAATCGTGTTAGAATGTGTATATATACCATATTTTACCTTACATTTCTCCAACTCTCTTCTAACTTCCCCTGTCGATTATTCCTATCTCTAAAACTATAGTTGTTAAAGTACATGTAGGTTACGATGAAAAAGGTAACAGATTTGTATAAGTGTATCATTTATGTTCAATCATTTTTGTATTTTTTTATACATATGTTTTGTAAATAAAACAAACTTTAACGAAGTATGTTAGTTTCTATTCAAAATACAGAAACCAAATAAATAATCATTTAAAACAAGAAGTGAACACCTACTTAGCCAAACAAATCAACGTTAATTCTCGAAGTTACATTGTAAAAGAATCCTCGCACATAAGTTTGACAGATGACAATTAGTTTGTAAACAAAATAGTGATTTGTGTACGATGTCATCAAATTATGTTCTTTGGTTTTTTTATAACTTGATAGACTAATAAAACAAACCAATAAAAATGGTGTTACAGACAATATTAAATTATCAATTTTGAGATATAATGGTGCTAGCGAACCAGAAACAGTGATTTTTTTTTATAGATTTTGACAGCTATGGGCCCACTTGTATAAAACATCTCAAAGTTAAGGAAAATCTCAAGCAATGTATTGTCTATGGGGAATCTTAGACTTGAGGAAATCTTAGGAGTTGAGATGTTTTATACAAGTGGGCCATGGTCATTTAAGGACGGGCCAGGTTTCAATGGTGGAGGAAGCCGGAGTTCACGGGGAAAAAACACCGATCAACGGCAAATACCGCCCCACATGGGTCTCGAACCCGCGACCCAGTGGTGGAGTACTAGTAGTAACATAATTCAAAGATTCAAACGGATGTTTGAATTATCATTTACGATGGCATCCTACATACATACGTGAATACATGCTCCATAATGATCAATTGTGGACTTTTGTCGAGGTCGATACGTTGTTATAGGAACACAATTAGAATTCAGGAAAAACAGGTAATATGTAATATTGTGTGGTAGTGTTCCTTTGAAAATATGTTGAACGGAAGTGTGTTGCAAAACCAACAAAATATTTTCTAAGATGGCATTGTAATTTTTATATTTCCGTTTAGAGCAACTAAGAACATTCTATTTGTTATGCCTGTCATAGTTAACTTTTTTCTGAACAGAAATTATTGTTGTGAATAGTTTTATATTTTTGTAGTGATTGGTTCATATGTAACTTCAAACATGTTCCACTCAAGAGTATCTCAGAGATGTACTGCGGAACTGTCAATTATACAAATTATTCAAAACTTAATGTCATAGCCGAGAAAACCTTGTACATCGAGTAAGCCTGTCGCGAAAGGTAAACCTTATTAAAACTATGTAGTTTTCCGCTTCTGGTTATGATACATTTATACAAAATGATTTACAAGAAAACGATAGAATAGCCATTCTTTTATGGTAACAAGTTCGTACTATTTTTTATAGTTACCAGCTTCGCCAGTCGACCGACATTCACACAATATCGTAATAACTTTAATATCAAGTCACGTTTACTTTTAGTGTACTCGAGAACCGATGGTTTCCGAGTATTCCTGAAGTATGAATGAATGACAGACCCAAACGGTTTCAGAGTAGAAAATATCCATGTGTATAGTTTTAAGGTTTTTGGAGTTATTGGTTAATAACTTTACAAGTGTTTCTTTCAAGAGAATCTAATTGTTGTACAGCGGAAATGTGAATTATACAAATTATTCAAAATTGAATGACATAGCCGAACCTTGTGAGCCTGTCATGGAAGGGAAACTTAATTAAAACAAAAAAAGGCAGCGACAGAATATTGAAATGTATTTGATAAAAAATTGGGGTGGTCGGGTGGCTCAATGGATAGAGCACTTGTCTTTCGCAAAGGCGGCCGGGGTTCGATTCTCCGATCGGACGTGAACAGGTATTTGGGTCAACTGCCTGACCACGTGGGTTTTCTCCGGGTAGTATACGTTGCAAAACTTATTTTATAGTTGTTGTAAAATAAATAAAGTTTATGTTATAGAAAATTGTTCTTAAGTGTTTGACTGATTGTTGTTGGGTAAGCTCCCTTACTTACCTGTTCCAATGGTGAGTGTTCCATAGGATCCCATCCGATATCGGTGTCTCATATTGGAATCCAATAAACTTGCCCCATATTGTGCCGTCCATTGGTTTCGCATGGATATTACATACCATTCTCCTTGGAAAGCATTCATTGTGAAGTTCTCCTGCATTTTGAATTGACCGACTGAGCATGGCTGGCTTTGCTGTCCCATACACAGTTTGATAAAGAAAAAAATCGCTAAGCAATAACATGATTTCGTTCGAAATTCAATCATTGCTTCGAAGTGTATTACTTGGTACAGAATGACCGATATGTGCTCACGAACAGGCAATGGTCAAAATAGATATGCTTGATTGACCAGTGGAGGAGAACCTCTTTGTGTAGTTGAAGGCTTTAAGATCCGCGTACCACTGTCGGATTACAGAGGAATTCTGTTTTGTTCTACCTGCAGTGGGACAGGGATAGCCTATGTTCAGGGCGTGGTTGCTGTCTTAGACTGACGAGATGATGAATTTCTGTCAGTACGCCTTTTTTTGCCATCAGCCATGTCCGATTGTCATCATAAACCTGTCCTTGTCAGTATTCTTATCGTGGTTTGCATAAGCCGTCTGTGTGTTGGCATTAGTTGCTGCAAAGTGACAACACCACAATAAATGAAGGAAAACACTCGTTAATGTTCAGACACATCATGGAACACGTGACCCTACTGCACTGAGTAACAAAATAAGAACAATGGTATATACCATTAACGACCGAATTAGTAGAGTCGAATCCGAGTCCTAAATTTACCTTAGCAGTTTGGGTTTTCCCCGAATACTCCGATTTCCTCCCACATTTCCTCCCCGTGCGCTACCATTAGGATCAACATAAGTTGAAATTACTTGTTTTATAATTAAATATCATACGGAAGCCCATTAGTGCCAAATGAAATCTACAAAATAAATCATGATTTGGCTGGACGAGAATTAACTTAAGGTTTGAAATGCATCTTTTTTATTTTGAAGGTGTGCAAAACAGTTCAGTTCAAACATATTCCATGATGTGCGTTAGCGAAAGCGCATCTTTGAGAATATGTTTGAACGGAACTGTGTTGCATACCTTCATAAATGTTAAAAAGATGCATTTCAACCTAATATTTACATCCACTTTTATTATTTGAAATTAAATTTTCACGTAAAAAAGCAAAACACCGTCATGAAAACAACAGCCTTTTTTCGTGGGAACGATGATGCGTTGTCAACGGTGACGAAATACACAGTTGAGCAATAAACAAATAGTTCCACTAGCCATATTTTCAATCATTTAATTTATATAACCAGCATGTTTAACACCCATTGATTCTCTTAAAAACTGACAGTAGATCTAAATTTGAAACAAAAATACTCTGTAAAAAGTCAGAAATATTCCGTGTTCGCGAAGATACATGAAGCTAACCGGTAAGCAACGGTTGTGCAGCGGCTACGCTAATCAGACCACGAAGCGGTTGGACTCTTACGAAACTCCACATTTCATAGATGCACTTTCAATTGCCATTAACCCATCTCGTTGAAAGACCAGATAATGATTTAAAAGATGCTGTTGGCTGAATTCGTGTGTCGATCGACTGTGTCAACAGGACTAGCTCATCGTTTGAGCATTCGGCATGTTACTGTCGCTGAAGGGACTGGCCGACGAGCCGGGGCGAGTTGACCTGCCTCGCCACTTGCAACGGACGCTAATGTAGTGGACAGCATTATTCTGTTGAAAAGAACCTGTTATAGGATCTAATAGCAAACACGCTTTGATGGCCCGACATAAACATGATGTGCCTTAAGGGGTTCGTTACAAATGACTGTGGCTGGAGTTAGCACACGACGGATATTAGACGCTAAATACGCGTGCTTAAATTACTTTAAATACGGTGATTTCTTGTTGGTAATTTAATTTAGTATTAATGAAATAAATGTATATGTTTGTTTGTGTGGGGTTTGTGTGCGTGTGTATTTGGGGAGGGGGGGTGGGGTCAGAGGTCATGTAACGGTACATGTAGTACTGTTAAAATTACTACACACTTAATTTCTCCCAATCAATCAAATATATACAAATTCACTTGAGGTGTAACAAAGGTTAATGTCATTCGGTTGCTGCTCCATCAGTACAACCGAATATCAATCAACGAACCTTTTATAAAAAAAAAAATGATTAAAACAAATCTTGAAAAGATTTAGATTATGCTTAAGCATACAATGTGCAAGCATTTTATTGAATCATGTAAACATTTTGAGCTGGTACTGTCATCTAGAGGCACTGCAACACAACTGTTATTATATCAATTTAATATCTACGTCTAAACGACAGTTTGGGTCATAAAAGTTACCAAACGAATGATGGTTACTTAGCATGTGTATCGAACTCGAGTTCGCTAAACGTTTCAAATTCTATAAAGACACGTGGTTTACCGTGAGTCGTTTACAATTTGGAAATTAACTAATGAGAGTTAGAAAAACATGATATTTAACCGTCGCGAGTTTGGGGACCTTTTTGCTCCTCGGCGTTCATTTGTTTTATCTAGAACGAAATTGGAGTATTGTAGCATGCCTGTCTGCTTGTACATTGTATGCTTAAGCATAATCTAAATCTTTTCAAGATTTGTTTTAATCAATTTTTTTTTATAAAAGGTTCGTTGATTGATATTCGGTTGTACTGATGGAGCAGCAACCGAATGACATTAACCTTTGTTACACCTCAAGTGAATTTCTAGATATTTGATTGGTTGGGAGAAATTAAATAAAAATCTCTGTCACCCTCCGAAAACACATTGGTTTTAAGGGGCGCGGGTGATATTGCCATGAGACAGAGAAAAATATCACATGCGCGAAAAATGTGCGTTCCGGGTTCTTCACAGTGGCCATTTTTCACCGCTTCGTTTCCCCACCATGATGGTCACAAGAACGTTTGACGGCAACAGCCGATTTTATCAAGCGCCGGTGCGATAGCGATTGTAAGCAGCAGACTATCAACAAACAAGATGTCATTATCGAGGTTTGCTGCCGTTTCTGAGCTACATGTACATATGGATGTGTAGAAGTGGGTTTTTTTAAGATAAATATTTATTTAAAGACTTTTGGTTTAACAAAATAGATATGACATTCATTAGCAGGTGACAGTGAATATTGTCAACACTCAAAAACCCATTGTCACCCTCCGCTTCGCCTCGGGTGACAATGGTTTTCTCGGGTTGACCATATTCACTGTCACCTGCTAATGAATGTCATATTTATATAGTGTCTAACGCAGGTGGATCCTCAAATGAACCCAAATATTGTGTTGGTGCTGCTCCTGACCACAGGGAGCTGTGAATTTGTTATAGCTGTATTTGGACCTAAACAAAGGTGTTTGGAGTAATTTTACATGTTTTAGGGGTTTTGATCGACTTTTGGCAAGTTGCATTCTGGGATGAAGGGCTGTAATTTTTTCAACTTCATGTCCATGTTTGACTTTCAAGGTCATAGGGGTCAAATGTGTTTTAATTGTTTAACAAGTTCTCCTGAATGACTTGAAGTCAAGACACTGGTATTTTGCCAGTAGCTTTAGTTTAGTCCACTTTTAATGTTACAATTGTGAGATTAATGCCAGGTGAGCGATGCTGGCCCATTGGGCCTCTTGTCTGTAGTGTTATGTGCTGATACAATTGGTCCAGATCTTTATTACCACAGTTGGAGAGATCCTCAGACTGATTGGATGCGGACAGGAATAATTATAACTCCTAAAAAAAATAAATACGAACGATGTGATGATGAAAAAATATAAGAGGAGTGTTGGTGTTGCGGGCTAAGGAGATACTAGGGTAGTCCGATAGTCTGAAACTAGTGAAATTACCAGCTGGTCTAGTGATTCTAAAAACTGCTAACCTAATTGGATAATCAAAATTTTGTATAAATTACCATGTTAATAATATTGGGAAAGTGGAATTTACACCTGGACTATTAGTAAAATTGGAAACTACTAGCCCGACTGACTAGTGTTTTTGAACGTTACTTTCTAGCGCTGAATTGCTAAGACTGTTGCCAGAACGGCATACTTATATCGCCTGCCTGTGTGAAGAACTGTAGGAATAGTTCTTTTGAAAACATTTTTTTAAAATAAAGTGGCATAGCTCTATAAACAAGAGGTGCAGAGGGCCTGTATCGCTCACCTAGATATCTAAGCAATCATGGCCAAATATTCTCCAAACACGATCCCAGGGAATGGACCAGACACCAAGATCCTTGTACATGTAGCATATCTGAAATTAGATTTGTCATGCCCAACAATTTTATGAATGGTTATTGATTGGGGATCTCAACTGTTTCTAACCTGTGACTCAGAAACTAGGTCCCTAGGGTTTTGGCCAGACCCTAGGGTCAATTCTGATGTAATGACAGCATTCGGCTCTTTATGCCCAGTATTTGTACATGTAGTTATGGGGTGGGGATATCAACCGTTTCAAAGTTATGACCCATGGGTTAAGTCTGCAAGGGTGGGGCAGACCCTGGGGACAATTCTAATTACATGACTGCATTCGTCTCTTTATGTCCATGCAGCAGTTGTATATATAGTTTCTGGGTCAGGATCTTAACCGTTTCGAAGTTATGAGCCAGGGGTGAAGTCTCCAATGATGGAGAAGACCCAGGGCTATCCTTGAAACATATGTGCATTCGTCTCTTTATACTCAGCAATTGTATATATGATGATAGGCAGGGGATCTCAACCGTTTCAAAGTTATGATCCAGGGACTATGTCTCCAAGAGTGGGACCAGACCCCAGAACCACCCAGGTATATGTGCATTCATCTCTTTATACTCAGNGGTGGGGGGGGGGCTCAACCACTTCCCAGTAATGAACTATGTTTGGCCCCACCCCTTAGCCCGTGAGAGGGGGGTCAGCCTGTCCATTTGTACAATTTTGAATCCCACCTACCTAGGGATGTTTTCAGTCAAATATGGTTTATATCCATCGCTTAGTTCCAGATAAAAAGTCGCTTAAAGTAATATAGCCAAATAACCCTTGCTGCCCCGCCCCGCAGCCCCCTGGGGGATTACCCAACCAATTGTACAATTTGGAATCCCCACTAGATAGTAATACTTCCAGTCAAATATGGTTGATATCCATCTCTTAGTTCCAGAGAAGTCGCTTAAAGCAATATAGCCAAATAATCCTTTTTGTACAATTTTGAATACCTGCCTCCCATGAATGCTTCCGACCAAATATGATTAGTATCCAGTGCACAGTTCTACAGAAGAATTCGTTTATAGCAATACAGCCAAATTGCCCCCTTTTGGCCCCGCCCCTCAGCCCCCTGGGGGTCAGATCCACCATTTGTACAATTTTGAATCCCCACCACCTAGGGATGCTTCCAGTCAAATTTGGTTAAATTCCAGTCGTTTGAAGA